CCACAACATAAAATTTGTTTTCTAATTGTTCGATCGAATTTGTTCTCAATGGAGGATGTTCTTCAAATTCAGGTTATTCCAAAATGTTACAAAAAAGTTGCAATGATATAATACTAGAGGCACGTTTCTTAATAGTTTTTGTAAAATACATTTTCGTCTATACTTCCCCAAACCATCAGCATCAATGCTCATTTATTAAGAATTAGTTTTTAAAATGTCGAATGAACCTCAAAGACTAATGACAGGGTTTAATTATTTGCGTTGGGATTTACGTTTATATTTAGTGTGTTTTGTTTTCATTAGAAATCCACAAGCTTGCGCATGAACATTGCGAGGTGAAAAGGTAAGTTTTCTCTCCCAGGCCCATCTTTCGATAACGGGTGATAACCGTTGGTAATATGGGGCACCTAAGGCTTTACACAAAGTACCTTTCCCTCTTTGGGTAGTTTTTTCAAATATCTCTTTTCATCTACCCCTCCACCAAACTTTCTGCACCTAAGAAACTCAAAATCTTGCCGGAATCTTGCTCCATTTCATCATTCTGTCAACAATCTAAGCCACTACGGCAACATCTGCTCAGCCAAGACTTGCAGCAACGATCTCTGAACACTCTCACCCCTGGTGTAGTAGATTCTAAACATTACAACTTAGCCTGATTCCCTCTAAGGATCCCCTCACACAGCTACTGTCAACATGACCATTGCCAGAATCTTGCTCCATTCTATTATTCTCTCAACCTGCTAAACCACTTCGACTACATCTGCTCAGAAAAGTCTTGCAGCTACGATCTCTAAACACTCTCACCCCTGGTGTAGTATACTTTAACCATTACACCTTAGCCTGATCCCCTCTAAGGATCCTACCTTTCAAACTCACACAACAACTACCAACATGAACAGAAGATTCACTACTGAGGACAAAGAGAAAGGCATAGAAAGCTGTGACGAACCCCCAAGAGCAGCTAGAGTTAGGGTTCCTCACTTTGAAGCCTCAAAGCTCATCCATAATCATCAACTAATGCTGGTAGGTCGAATCACCAACCCAAAGATACAAAAGATGTGGGCTCTTCTCCCCTTCCTTGCTGACCATTGGAAGGTCACAACTAGACCGCTT